ACTTGAATCGACGAGGGATGGAACTATCGGCGGCTGTAGCGGCAAAGGGGCGGTGAGTGGAGAGGGAAGGGAGAAGAAGAGACGAACTCACAGTGGTATTTGGGAATGAAAAGAGAAAGTGGGTACGAAGGGTGAGTGGGTTAAGCGTATTTGATAAATAATAAAGTCCATACCATCATTAAAAAGTAATTTTCCGTTAATTTTAAATATGCTGGGCGAAGATGACATGTTTGAATAGGATTGGACGGGACAAAAAGTTTTCTGTACTAAGGAACAAACGATCCAAACTCTTTTGCCAGCACACACTCTCACACTTGGGCCCAGTGGTTTTATAATACCACCTATCATTCGGCAACCAAGTTTACTCCCTTCTAGATCGTTTATGGTATGCCTCCCCCTCCCCTCTATCTTATGTCCCAGGCACTGCTAAGGTAGAAGAAATAGTTGACGACCTTTTGATAGAACGAGACCGCATACTGCCTGAACTCAAGGAGAATTTTGTATGAGCCCACAACAAGATGAAGAACATGGCCGACTTGAAGAGAATAGAGAGAATTTAGAAATAATTGAGCCGGTGGCATACAAACTTGCCCTAACAAATGACTGCAAGCTCCATCCGGTTTTTCATTTATCTTGGCTCAAAAAGAGATCAGGCCGTTACCAATTCCACCGTGCCAACCCTACCCCCATTACTTCCCCATGGCATCATTCACCCACAACCCATGGCAATTCTATCATTAAAATGCATTTTGTTGTTGTGAGGACAGTGGAGAGAGGTAGCATTTACACAGAGGAGTAAGATTGGGAGTTTACATTTGAAGGGCATTTTTGTCCTTTTACATGTCACTTGACGGCTGGTTAACGCCGGGTACTAGATTGTTGCAAAATGAAATTTTGGGTACTAGATTGTCACATTTTAAAGTTCAGGTACTAAATTGGCACTCAACCTAAAGTATAGGATACCTATCAGGAATTTTCCCTAAAAAAAATTGTCTCCTGTCAATCTTGATTATGAAAGGATGCTCTGTTACACATGGGAAATGTAATTGCAAAGCTGATAATGCAGAAGGTTGTAATTGGTCACACAACCTCTAATACAGCCTTCTCGGTTCAGATATTTTGGGATATTGAAAAATAGGTCACATATAATAAAGTGTGAAATGGTAATCTACTAACACCGGTTAGAAGGTCAAGTTAATGACATGGGTTCTTTGGACGTTTTGAAATGTTACAGTGTGTTTTAAGAGAAATAGTGGAAAGTAAGGGTGAATTTTAACAAGGGAAAATTTCACTTTAGTACCTTGAACTTTGGGGATAGTGTCAAGTTAGTACCCAAACTTTCAAATGTGTCACTACAATACCCAAACTTTCAAAAAGTGTCAAATTGGTCCCTACCGTTAATCGATCGTCAATTAGCTGATCACGTGATGACATGTGCAACTTAAAATTTTTGAAAATATTAAAACTGCCCTTCAAAAAAAGACACTGTTCATTGTCCTCTACCGTGAAACTGAACCGATTGAGATGTTTGAGATTTTGAACTAATGAAGACACACATTCATTGTTTTCTACCTTTAGATGCTAGGCCCACTTCTAACCAAAACGAGACGGAAGGGAGAACCAGGATAGGTCAAACGAGTTTAAGAATGTCATTGCAGCCTGACAGAAGATTTGAACTACTGGAGACTCACATCCCTCTTTCCCTCCCCACCAGCCCCCACACCACCCCACCCCTCCAAAAAAAAGGATCAAGTCCCAGATTGAGAAGTATGCCACATCTGTAAATGATGCAGATAAAAAGTAAATAAGGCCAATGATAATTATATACCTGATTATGGGGTTGTTGGTCTCCATTGCTGTCAAAATTGGTTAACTCAGGGCAAGATTTCTCTGTATTCAACTTTCCCACCAAAAGCATGTTTTCAGGCATAACATTTTTATCTAAGATGTGTTCATGTGCAATTTCATTTTCTACGTACATCTGTATTTTTCTCATCTTTTTGAAACAAATCCTTGGAATTGCATTGGCTATCAGTATTTTTTTTTTTTTTTTGCAATCACTTTGAACCAAAGATTTCATCACGTCTGAATGAAGTGTTACTGAACAACGTCTTCAAAATGAAGATTTCATCACATTGTGGACCTCTTTCAAGGCAATGGTGAGACACTGAGACCGTCGGAGAGGCGAACAACCTTGTAAACGTCAGAGTAAGTGCCAGAACCTACTTGTTCAAGGACCTCGTATCATTGAGTGATTTCTATGCAGCTGAAGATGCTCCAACTTTTTAGAGGGAGGATCCATGATGAATATAAGGCCTAAGTTTTCTGATCACATCGTCAAGCTCCATATGCATTGGTTTCGAGTTTTATGTGTGTAAGATGCTATAGCTTCAATGAGCATTTGTAGAGATATGGTTTTAGAAGCTCATTAACTAGCTTGGCATCAGAGCTGGTTACTAGTTAGAGATCGGATACAAATCAAAAGAAAATTAGATGATAGGTAAAAGACATTTTTGTCCTTTTATATGACATTTAAGCTCTATTAATGGTTTTGGACTAACTTGACACTTTTTGAGACGTTAACGGTTAGACCTGTTCATAGGTCGGGCTTGGGTTTGACTTTTGCCAAATTTTGAAGGGTGCCCATCCCAAAGCCCAAACCCGACACAGTGTAAGTCAGGCCCAAAGCCCGGCCCATGAACAAGTCTATTAACGGTTTTGGACCAACATGACACTTTTTGAAAGTTTGGGTACTGGAATGACACGTTTGAAAGTTAGAGTAATAACTTGACACTACCTCCAAAGTTCAGGTACTAAAGTGGAATTTTACCTTTAAACAATTTCCCTAAAGGTTTTTTTGATAAAACGTACATCATTCTTTTTAGGGTAAATTACAAAGACCCCCTTCGGTCCAAAAAGGCCATTGCAATATTTTTTTAATCTCCATACTACCCTTGTAATAATTATTCGAATGAGAAAACACTGTTCATCTTCCCCGACCTCACGATACATGAACAACGGTGATCCCCTTCACCTCATATTCCTTCACATCTCTCTCTCTCCCTCGATCTCTCTTCTTCAGTTCTTCCCCTTCCCCTTTCTCTCCTCATTTTTCTTCTTTCCGCTTTCCTCTATTTTTCGTTCCTCTCGGCCATAGCCACCACAACTCGTTGCAGGCTAATTTGGGCATACCCCCTGCTAACCCTCATTGTGTTCATGTAGGCAGGAAATGATCTCTATTCTCGCTAAGATTTCGTTTTCAATCAGGGAATGGGTCTTCGTTTTCCAATTTTTATAGTATCTCTCTCAAGTTCCATATGAACCCGTATCGATTCTGTACCTATTGACCAAGGGGGTATTTGATTATGGCTTAAGTGGCCGAAATAACTCTTCCTCTGTTTCTTCAATACTTTCTTCAGAGATAAATTTTTAATGAGTTGAATTTGCCATTCTGAAACTACAAGTTTTATTCTTTGAAGACCAGTTTTTGAAACTACAAGTTGAATTTGCCATTCGGAAAAGAATATATTGTCGTGCAATATCATACTCAAGGTTAAGTCCAACTAAAAACTCAAAAACCCTATTCTTTTCTGCTAGTTTCTGATAAGTTGTTGCATCATTGCTACTTTCCAAACCACAATCTCCAAATGATCTATCTCCTACCATAAGGTTTTTAGGGCTAAAAAATAAATAACAAAAGACTTATCTCCTTGCCTAGTAACAATCACCTGGTTTCTCAATCGATAGGCTCTAGCAACATTTTCATTCTTTAAATAGGCTTCTGCTACTCTATCCCAAATATCCTTAACTATGTTAGCCCATAAAAAGTTCTTACTTATATAGGACAACATGAAATTACACAACCAAATCATCACCATGTAGTTCTCTTATACCCATCAGGGATTAATTTCAGGTTTATTTTCCTCACCGGTGACATACCACAATTTCCCATGAACACCATTCTAAGTAATTTATACCATCCAACTTTATTGTAGTGATAGTTCTAGCCCCAAAGAGGTCTAGTACCTCCTCCCCCGAATCCCATTTCTCCTAAAAATTTGTTTTCAACTACACAACCCTTAAACACCTTCTTGAAACCCTAGAAGCCCCTTCCTCCAAAGATTCTTTTTTTTGTGAGAGTGGGAGCAAAGAGAGAAGAGGCTGTCACTACCCTTCAAAAAACCTCAAGGAACCCTAAAAAACTAGAGCGCCACTTCCTAGGTCAAAATTAAAGAGTCCTACTAAAATATAACTCTCCCCCTTTCTCCAATTCTTCCTAATTTTGGTGTAAAACCCTAGACCAGTTACAAGGGATTGCAATTCCACCAAAAAAATTCAAAAATCAAGATTTAAAATAAAAAACATGATAAAGGGAAAAAATGGAAAATAAAAAATCAGGCTTTTTGACAAAACATTGTCATATATACATATATAATTCCATCATTTTAAGAGGGGGTAGGATTGGAAATATGAAATCAGGGAAGAGGTAAAATTAAAAATATAAAATCAGCATTTTAAGAGGGGATAAGATTGGAAATATGAAATAAAGGAAGGGTAGAATTGGAAATGTAAAATCAGGGTGTTCGACTTGGACACTCATCCATTTCTCTTTATTATAAATGGGTAAGATCTATTATATATATATATATATATATATATATATGTCT